GGCCCTCCAGCATATGTTCACAAGCTTCCTCTGCTCTGTGCTTAGGGGACCAGATCAGGACACATCCAGTATCACCGGCCTGCCTCTGAACCAGGACAAGTCCCATGTCTGGGTGTGGTGTCTTCTCTTTCACACCACCTATAACTCAGGCTGTGCCACTCTGTCAACTGTTCTGGTGTGTGTGTATTAACACAGGGTCTCACTTTGACCAGGCTGGCCTGAACTTGCTATGTAGCTGGGGATAACTTCTAATCCTTCTGCACCTCTTGCGTGCTGGGATCGAAGGTGATCCCGCCACACTTAGTTTATGTGGTTCTCTAGGTTGAACATGGGTACTTCCTGCTCCTGGTCAAGCTCTAACAAGTTGAGCTCCATCTTTAGCCTCCTATTCATCTTTAAAAACTGCCCCGAGTGCCCGGGGCAAAACCAAACAAGGGGCTGCAGAGGTGGCTCAGCAGTTAACAACACTGACTGCTCTTCCAGAGGTCCTGAGTTTAATTCCCAGCAACCACATGGTGGCTCACAACCATCTATAATGAGATCTTATGTCTGTAGACAGCTACAGTGTACTCACATGCATAAAATAAATAAATCTTTTAAAAAATGAAACAAAACAAAAACTGTTCTGAACTGTGCTGTGTGGTTGGTAATCAGGAAGTCTTTTTTTTTACTTCTTTTTTTTTGTTTTTTGTTTTTTTTTGTTTTTTTGTTTGTTTGTTTTTTGAGACAGGGTTTCTCTGTGTAGCCCTGGCTGTCCTGGAACTCACTCTGTAGACCAGGCTGGCCTCGAACTCAGAAATCCGCCTGCCTCTGCCTCCCAAGTGCTGGGATTAAAGGCATGCGCCTCCACCACCCGGCAGGAAAAGTCTTAATAAACCCACAAACTCATTTTCCCAGGAAAGGACTCATAGCTGAGGCAAGAGGGATGTCACAGTTCTGAAGATCTTGTCACATGGAGCTAGGCTCTGCCTATGACTTACTGTAGTGTGACTTTGGGGGCTTGTCTCACCTTAGCTCTGTCTCCTGGCCTAGATAGGGTATCTCAGTAGTGTCTGCTTGGCATCTACAGAGCTGACAAAGGGTGGCCCAAGTCTGGTGAGGGATGCCCCAGCCCTGGCTTTCCCTAGGACTCACGATAATGGTGCACAGTGTGTGAGACTTCTAAGAGCAGGGGTTAAGCTGATGCCTCCCCACTGTCCTGAATACTGAAGTGGGGTTAGTTCAGGGACTTAAGAGAGGGTGTGAATGGTCCAGGGACTAAGAACCATCTGAGTTGAAAGTCCCAAGTGAATGAGACACATGCATGGCTGTTTCCTGTGGTCACTCGGGGATATCAGGCTTGGCCTGAGAGCAGATGAAAAATGTAGCCTGTCAGCTGGTGGGACAGTGGTTGCCAAGACCCTTTCCTGCTGGGACTCCTGGATGAATTACAGGAAAGGGGCACTTGTGGGCACCCCAGGCTTTGGGTGGCCAGGAACTGACTTCTTGTGCAAGGCCTTATGGGGCCTCTTCCTAGATGTCCTTGGGGATAGCAGCTTCATGGAGGAGCAATCAAGTCATAAATGGCAGCAATGCAGGGCCCCCTTATCTGAAGGTAAGGGGCTGAGTGTGCACCAACAGTCCCCAGGGCCCCCTGAGGCTGAGGAAGTATCTCTGGTGGCAATCCAAAGGTAAAGACGCCAAGACACAAGTCAGGGATTAGTAGGCATATCAATGCTTTTAATTCCTATGTACTAGATTGGTCTAGCCTCTAAGGCAAGTGGTATGTTGCCTAAGGTACAAAAGGAAAGCATAGGGCCAGCCCCTCAAGATAGAACACAGCAAGAGCAGAGTCCTGACTTAGTTGCTGGGGGTGGGGGGGGAGAGGGGGTGGAGCTTCAGTAGCCATCGTCAGCCCAGGTGACCTCATAATCAGGATACTTGGCTTTGATCTTCTCAGTTGAAACAGAGTGCTGGGCACGACCGTAACCCTAGAGAGAGGATGACCACCAGTCTGCTAGGTTTTTGCTTTAGGAGTCTACCCAGAAGCCACAGCAATAGCAGCCATGGGGAAAGTAAGCAAACCCTATCATCCTAACCACACTGGGAACATGAAGGGGCCCGACAGGTGATGCCTGAGGACCAAAGGGGGGCTTTATGAAAGGGGACAGAAATGGTCAGGGCTATGAATTTGACCCCAGCACTGGCTGTTCCAAGGACCCCTCAAGAGCCAGGACACAGACCAGGTCAAGGAGGGGTGTAGCCCAAGGCAGCTGGCTTCCAAACACCCTGCTGTCATTTGGGAAATGTGGAGAAAGGAAAAGTCACAGGGCCCTTAAGTAACGGTTCTCTGTAACTCCAACTTTCAGAGTCTCAGAGATGGCCTGAATGCATCTGATGGCAGGTGGGGAGGGGAGGGTCAGGCTCACAAAGGTGAGCTTTGCAGTCTGAGACCTAGGGACTGGAGCTCACCATAGAGTAGCCATACACGTGTATCTTCCTGTCCTGGCTCTGATGGGAGATACGCCCGCCGCCTAGGCATTCACAGTCATAGCCATTCCTTTGCAGCTCGCCTGACACTTTGTCATAGATGTCCGCTGGGGTGGGGAGAGTGGCCTCAGAATATGCCCTAGTCGCCCTTGTTGGCCCCACACTGAACTCTAGGGCTGGATATGGGGTCAGAAGCTCCAGCTCTTGGTGGTCTTTTTCCCAGTGGAGATGAGCCCTTCCCCCACTGGCACAAAGATGAACGGAAGAAGAAACTTTCGAAGTGAGAGACGAGATTAAAAAGGTCCTGGTCATGGCACTCCTTTCTGCCCAAACCCCGACGTTTCTAGGTCAGCCTGGCTATGTGTTAGTACAAGTCATGATATATTAGCATTCACAACCCTGCCACCAGCAACTGCTAGGCTCAGGCCCCGCCCCCAACCTTCGTCCCACCCCCAAAGGCGCAGAGGCCCCGCCCTCACCGTGGTACTCAGCCCATTTGTAGCCACGCACGATTTCCTTGCACTCCCTCGCCGGATCCCCGGAAGGCTCTGCTAAGTGGACTCGAATCAGCACGTACTTGAAGACGCCATCCGAGTCAATGTCCACATCAGGAATCTGACCGAGGTCTGCCGCCATGTTCCCCAAAGCGCTCGGTCTCTGGGCTCCACAGCCCCTTACCAAACCCGACCGGGAGGCGGGCCCTTTGGCAGCCGCAGCCAATCCCGTGAGGGAATGCTTCCCGAGGCCCAGAGCCTCAGCCAGTTGTACCTCCAACCTGAGGCACGGACTGGCCAATTGCAACCCAGTTCTTTGCAGCTTTGGGATCTGCGAGTCCCAGTTAAAGGAGCCGAGGTATAATCCGTGGTGCTGCTTGCTAATCAAGCCGCTGCAAGTGGGCAGCGGAAGAGGATGCAGAGAAACACCCCGGCTTCACTCCTGGGTCCTAGGGCTTCAATCTGTAAACCATAAATCCAAAGTCCTCTCTTCCCTAACTTCCGTAAGCCCGAGGATCTCTCTCTGGTCTCTCTAAATTCACGTACTCCCTTGCCCCAAGCTTCACACCCTCGGGCCTCTCCTTCCACAATACTCCGGTTGTCAAGCTCCTACTCCCGAAGCTTCTACCCAACGCTTACCCCCGCCCACTACGACGACGACCACCACCACCACCGAGTTATTAGCAGCAGCTACATTCAAGTTCTATTTTACTTGGTTTGAAAGCACTCTCCCTACTTGTCAGGGACGTTCTTGCCAGCCTGCCGCAGGAAGGAATGTGGAGTCCCGGGGGAGGACGCAGGCGGCGCGGCAGCAAGTGTTGCAAGAGCGGCATTGGGGCGCGTACTAAGACAGGCCAAGGAGAGAGCTGGAGTGTACCGGGACATTCAATAAAGGATAACTGGCACGTGTCACACCCTCGCGCATAGGTGTGTGTCCCAGGTTCTCGCACTTGAACTTTCAGAGCTCCTAAGGGGCGTGAGGCTTCTGGAGAGGGCTTGGAGAGTCTCTCTGGATCACACGAAGTCTGGACTCAGATCCAGGGACACTTAGGCTGTAGGGGTCAGGCAAGGGGCTCAGGGAAGCCTAGACCTCTCCACAACATGTCAGGCTTTGGCTTCTGCTCTCAGCTTGGAGCGAAGGCAGGGCGAGTATGTGGCACTGTTGTACACAGGATTGGACCCAGGGTAGGCCTCAGTACAAGCTCCCTAACCGTTCCCACACTTGGTGGCTCACTACTCTGCACCTTTCCTAGACCAGTTCCTCATTTGGGGCAGCCCTGTTCCTTACTCATTCCCGAGTCATTCAATGGTAGGTGCTGCTCTCCGTAGAGTCCCCTGCTAATTCATCAGCACACCCTTCCCACCACCTCCCTGGGAGATTAAGGCCTGGGCCTCCATCTTCTCTAGAAGGTGGATTTTTAAGGCCATCTTGTTGGGGAGCTCCAATCCTTACCCAGCCAGGTCTTCACTGTGGCTTCCTCACCACCCACACTGCTCCCCTGCTCAGCTTTCGGTCTGGCTAGGTGGACTGTGCCTTGGCCTTGACCTGAAAATTCCCCAGTATTCCAACTTGTCCTACAAGGGCCCAGATTAAGGTGACCAGAGGCGAGAGCATTTAAGGACAGGTGGCACTGATAGTGTTCGTTCAGTGCTGGCCACACCCACTGCCTCATCAGCATAGGGGTGCACAGGGAGTAGGCCTCTGAGCCTGACACACCCCAGATAGGAGCATTAGGAGACGTGCTTAAAGTAAAGACACTGGGCTTTGGTTAACATGGATTTCTGGACTAGAAAGGTTGGAGAGCTATAGCAAGCACCCACAACGTACACCAACGGAGTTTGTCTCCTTGGGATGAGTGTAGTAATAACCTTCCACTAGAAGGCAGAGCCCAGTGGTCCTCAGTCCTACCCCACCTCCCAGTGGGGAGCACCGAAGGTGAGGACCAGGCCCTTGGGGAACCCCCTCCCCTCTCCTTGACTGCCTTGGGAGAGCCCAGGATGTTGAATTAGGAACAGAAAGAAGGAGAAGCAGCTGGTTGGAAACAGGACGGGGGTGAGGGTGGGGGCTCCTAGGCAAAGTTAGAGGTGTGGCGTGGGTAGAGCTCGGGGCAGAGAATTTGTAGAAGACTAATGGGGGCCCAGGGGGACTTGGGAGGCGCTGAACCAGCTGGTCCAGACTCTGGGGGCGGTCGTGATGAATCAGGCAGGGCCTGAGTAGAGTAGGTAGGGCTCGGGGTCGGGGCCTGGGCCTAACAGTCCCCTGGTTCACATGATGTCATCCAGCAGGTTGGCGCTGGCTACCCAATCTAGTGCACGAGGCTCGGAAGCAGCCATGATCATGCACATGAAGGGGCGGCCAGTGCGCCGATCCGTGGGATAGATGGTGGTGGGCGTGAAGCGCCGGTTAGCCTCCACAAACTCACAGAGCTGCTCGTAGACCCGCGGGAACTCGTGGCGGAGGAAGACACCGCGCAGTCGCAGCTCTCGTTGGATATGGATGAAGGCTACCTCGCGCGCGCGCCGGCCGGTCTCACCCTCTTCGTCCAGGCCCGCGGTGCCCGGGGGTGGCGTCAGGATCAACGTTTCCATATCTGGTTCTCCGCCACGCGCAGGAGGAGGCCGCGTCGGACTGCCAGCGGCCAGGGCCACCTTGGCGAACTTGCGCACCGTGGGCCCAGGACTGCGCGGTGCGGGCCGGGCAGCGGCTCCGGGGGGTGCAGCGCCGGGCCCCACGGCCACGGACACGCTAAGCAGGAAGCACTCCGCCGGCTCATAGAGCCTCCCGGCGGCCGCCAGCTCTCGTGCATAGCTACCCAGGGGCGCCGCATGTGTAGCCAGCTCTCGCAGCGACAGGTAGGTGGGCGATAGCAGCAGCCCTTCGAGGCCGAAGCGTAGGAAGTTGTCGGCAGAGCCGGGGCTCGGGAAGCCCAAGAACAGCACGCCACGGCCTCGCGACAGGAATCCGACCCGTGCTATGCGCGAGAAGGCGCGATGCACTGGGCTGCTGTCGCGGCAGAACTGCAGCACGTGGCGGCACACGCTGCCCACGCGGCCGTACACGCAACGCGCCTTGTGCGCATCCCAGTCCTCTCGGCGGCACAGACGCGAGCAGTAGTAGGTATAGCAGCTGTGGCACGACTTGAAGTAGAGACAGGCGTTGAACATGGTCTCTGTCCGCCGGCAGCGCGCGTTAGAGCACGTCATCAAGTCATCCTCATCTGCGCTGGGCTCCGGGGAGGCGTCGGCTGCCTCCCCCGAGCCGGTGGGCTCTTCGGTGCTGCCAGCCGAGGCCGGGGGCGAGCGCGACGGCGCCAGCGCGGTGGCTCCTCCAAGGCCCGCAGGCCGTGAGTCCAGCAGGCGGCGTAGTTGGCGGCCTAAACCTTCGGCGGCAGGCTCCGGGGCCTGGGCTGGCGATCGTGAGTCGATGACCAGGTCGGTGATGAGCTCGTCCAGTTGCTCGAGGCTGCGCTGGCGGCTGGAAGCAGGACCCTCAGGGACCGTGGGTGCGGGCTGCCGTGGTCGGCCTCCAGGCAATTCCCAGCCCTTGGCAGTCGGGCGCTCCACTGAGCGCAGGTCGTTGTCTGTGATAGTAATCTCTGGCGTGACGTACCAGTTGCGGCCCAGGCTCTCTCCGGTGCGGCCCTTCTCTGTCAGCGACGTCTCGGACAGCGACAGTGCTGCATAGCGTCTGGGTGAGGTGGACAGATTCACTACGACTGGTGGACGCCGTCCTTCAAGGGATGAACCCCGCGTATCTCGAACCTCCCGTCCCAGGAGGTTCTCATAGCTGCGGCCACGTCCTAGAGGGTCTTCACGACGAGGACCAGGAGCTAGGATGTTGTCCCAGGATCGAGAGTAGTGGCGGCTATCTGTGGCCAGCCGGGGTGGGCTTGTGCCAGTGCCGCCGTGCCACGAGGCCAACAGTGGTCCAGGGGCAGGAGGCGGCATCACCTGAAGGGTGCGGTAAGGCCTCGGACCCCAGTCAGCCCAGGCTGGGCTGCTGCGCGGGTGCGGGTAAGTCCGAGCCAGTGCATCGCGTTCACGGTACCTCCCAAAATCCTCTGTGTAGAAGGTGCGGGCTACAGGGTGCGCCCGAGGCTCTTCTGGGACATACCGGGGAATGAAAGGCAGACCGTAGGCTCGAGTTGTCTCCCCGTAGTAGGAGCGGGATGGAGGCTCTTGGATCGGGAAGGTGCGTAGTTCGCCAGCATAGTAGCTGCCCCCACGCCTTGGACTAGGTCTAGGGGGTTCTTCGGACAAGTAGGGCTTGGAACAGTAGCCATCAAAGGGAAGGCCGGGGCTTGCAGTAAAGCTGCCTGCGTAGCCCTCTGGCTCCTCGGTGTAGAAAAATTGGGTGGGACCTGGAGGCGTTGCGAAGGGTTGACTTCGGTGCTCCAAGTAGTCCCGGGCCCCAGGCAGTGACCCGTCGCAGTACAGTGCTCTGGGGTCAGTACAGTACAAGTCACTGGGGGTGGGAGTGCGTGACAGGGCCACGTGGCGAGGACCGGGAACTGTGAGGCCGTGGAACTGCGGGGCTGTGCGACCCCAGGACGTCGTCTCTCTAGGTGCACAAGATCGTGAGCTTCGGGCGGCGTGCTGCAGCACTGCCTCGTCGGGTTTGATGTCCAAACGGCAGCGGACATGGGGGACGGGTCCAGAGGGTGGTTCCGGTGGTGCGCAGCGGCCTGGGGTGGCGCATAGAGGCGCAATGCGTCCTGGGCCTCCCCGCTGTGGCTGGAGCTTGATGGGGTGCAGCTCATTAGCGAGAGCTCGCAGAGCAGGATACGAGGGCTCCCGGTGCGGCGAGCCCTCCACCCGCACTGCACGCTGGGCTTCCCGGCCTCTGCGCTGCAGTACAGGTGGCGAAGCCGGTGCAGTCGCCAGGCCTTGGGTCGCACGGGGCGCGCTCTTGGAACGGGTGCGGCGCCGAGGCTCGCTGTCTCTGGGTCGGGCGCGGGGTGGCGCAGGTTCAGGAGGTGGTGGCTTTGGGTGTGTCTCCATGGTGGGTTCGTCCAGTGCCTCTAAGAAGTCAAAACTACGGCAGTGGCGCTTGTTGAAAGGCGTGGGCGCAGCAGGCCGGGCCATGGAACGCTCACATGGCTGGCGTTTGGACGTGAGGCCTGGGTCTACCACCTTGATATCCTGGTACACGGTCGACACCAGCAAGTCCGGCGGGTCCGTGCGGGTCATCTTAAAAGACGTCCCCAGGCTGGCACCTCCAGTCACTCGGCCTTTCGGGGATTTTGTCCTGGGAGGAGATACCGGTCAGGGCAGCCTCCTCTGCACCCCAAGCCCTTTACCCCCACCCCACCCCACGTGCTGGTCCGGCTTACCTGGGGCATAGGGGATGGAGCAGCCCTGGCTGCAGGTCTTGGTCAAGGCTTCTGGTGCTGGCTCCATGCCTATGTTAGAAATACCTGCAGGAGAAACTTCATAGTCTATGTAGCCTGTGGGGTGGATGGGCCAGGAGAACCTAGTCTATGCGGACCTTCTTTGTCCCCGCAGAGGGAACTCCTGAGCTAAACTTGCCAGGTATTCTCTCCCTGTACTAGGGTCGGTTGGGCAGGCTTGGGTAGATCAAAGGGGGACATGATCTCAGCAGTACTGCCCTCTGGTGCCTACAGTTGGAACGATGAGCTTTTAGATTTCCTTACAGGTGAGACTAGCGGCCCTCTCCCACCAGCCCTCTCCCACCAGCCCCGCAGAACCACCCCTCTGATAATGCAGAGACCTAGGGGAGTCAGTGAATGGTTCCTGCCTCCTGACTATGCTGGGCAGAGAACTCTTCTCCTAGCACGCAAGTGCTTTTGCTCTTTGGGACAGTCCTTTTTTAACCAAACCTAACCAATTTGATGAGGTCCTACCTAGGCAGAGGAAAGATCCCAGAGTTTTCTTGGGTCTCAAATCCCTCTTCCTTTTGCATAAATCTCGGACTCCAGTTCCTTGAATGAACAACCAAGCTTGTTGGAACAGAGAATGCTGCAGAGCAAGACTCTCTCCTGCTTTGCAGAATTGCACACGGACCCCACCCCCACCCTGTTTGGCATTCCTAAAGCCAGGTTTAGGCTACAGAACCATGTGGGGCCATGTGAGCCACGAGCTCATGGTGTCCTTCCCCTAAGCTGCAAACTACCACTAGTGTACCAAGCCAGGAGGCTGCCAGCTAGGAGGAGGCAGAGGAGAGGGCAGGAAAGCCCCTCCCCAGGACAGACTCCTTCCCACTCTGGCTTTGGAAAGCTCCATGGAAACGTGTGGTTGTTCATCCCTGGAGCTATGGGCTGAAAAGATCTAGGCTAATGTTCAGATGTGGGCCACCCGTGTCTGTGGTCCCCAGGGCCTGGAGCTGGCTGAAGAAAGGGTTTCAGAAAGTGATCACACACACACCCTCCCCCCTCCCCATAAGGCACCTACTCCCAAGACATCTGCTCCAGGGGAAGCTGAGTGTTGGGGCCTTTCAGGGTCAATCTCTAGTCCAGGTGTACAAGGGGCTGTTCTTTGGAGTCAGGGCTACTAAGTACCAAGTCTTGTTCCAAACCCAGGTTCATGCCGACCCTATTAAAACCCCTTTCATTCTAAACTCAATGCTAGGTCAGAGTTTGGGCTAGATGACAGGGTTTGAGGCTCCGCCCCAGGAAGGTGACAGCTTTGCTGGCTGCGGCTATCAGGAGCAGGGCACTGTGACACAAGCTCCCTTTGGGATGGGGGTGGGGCTTGCTTTTGTATCCTAGGTATTTTGAAGACCCTTCCCAAATAGCAGCCCTGCTTTGGCCTGTCCCGGAGCAGCCATCAGCAAGAACCTAGTCTGCGTTGCTTGGGGGCGGGGACTCCTCATCCTTTCGTGCAGCCCCCTCCCGTGCCAACAGCTCCACATGCTGGGCAGTTTGGCTTGGCCTCTTACCTGGTGATTACTCCACGAGCCGAGCCCGAGTAGGCTGCATAACCCAAGTCGGTTCTAGTGTGTACCTGGCCCCGCTATATATACATATATATATATACACACACACACACCCGGTACCAGCAGAAGCTTGAAGGCAGCAGCTGTGATCCCGGCCTGATGGCTCAGTGCTGCCCCCAGTGGCGACCAATAGAATGGCACTTAAAGGGGCCGCGTTGTAAGGGAGGTGTATAGTGGGACTACAGAAGCCCTAGTTCTCATTTGGGCTGTGTGGAGTGAAAGGTCATGAACAGCATCATCAAAGCACAAATCTTTCGGTCTGAACAGGGGGTCCCTCGCACCAAGAGAAGCCTACCAGAAGGATTTCAGGCAGGGCCCTGTAAGGAGCCAGAAGCCTTGGCTTGGCTGCAGGGAAACTGGGTTTGGGGAAGTTTCCAGAATACACTGTGGTTAGACCCAGGTGGGAGCAGATGAGCAGTTCCCTGCACCATTGGCCTCTCCTCAGGAACTGTCCTCTTTGGCGCTGAAGATGCCAAAATCTCAGCAGGTACCCAGGAGCCAGATGGCTTGCTCAGCCTGGAGTGTAGCTGCAACTTCCAGTGTCCAAGATAACCCGGGCGGCCACCGCCTGCTTCCTTTAAGGAAGATCTTCATGAGGTCCACTCGTAAGCCATATCCTCATTCTGCCCTGCATGTCCCTTGCCAGAGGCACTGGGTCTCCCAGCATCTTAGTTTGGTAGATGGTGGGCCATAGATGTCAGACCTGGCGAGATCCTGGTGCTACTGCTTATTGGGCAGTTGTGTGTGGGGTCATTTACCTGTAGACCCTTTCCTTACATCAGGAGTGCTAAACCGAGGAGCTAAAAGGTCAGGTAATGTTTGCTCCATAGCGCCCGCTCAGTTGTCGACTGTCCTGTGTGCACAGCTCCCTAGCAGAAGAGTAAGGGAAGCCCCCCTCATGTCACCCCCTTCAAGTCCTAGGAAAGCACTCTCAGCCTTGGCCCACAGTAGGCGCAGCAGTATGCTCCGCCTCTAACGTCACTAGCAGCGATAAATGCCTGCTTGCCTCTGGAGGGTTCTCATGGCAACGTGTCCACAGTGGGCGAGGGTGGAGCTGCCAGCGGGGGTGAAATTCTCAATTCCAGGCGCCCCCCAGACTCCCAGCAGGCAGGGAGGCAGGGCAGGGAAGGACACAACTACCTTATCAGGGCCTGAGACTCCCAGGTATTCTCCCTGCAGTAACCTTGCATCAGCTCATGGGGGTAAACCCTGAACCATGGCCACTTTTGGTCCTCTGGATGACATGGTACGGCTAGGTGCTAAGACCATTTTTTTTTTGAGCCAGCATTGTAAAATGTTCCTCTGCTCTTGGTACAGGTACTTCTCAAAAATGGTTCTTTGGCTTAATGGCACCTGGCCCATTGTTTGATCTCATCTCAAGCAGCTTATGGAACCAGAAAACAGTCACACACCATAGTAAAATCAGAGAGCTTTATGGTATGGGTGGAGTGTCTAAGAAGGCGCCCTCTAGGCTCACCTGCGCAGGTGCTCAACGGGCAGAGGCACAGCTGGCACAGAGTGGCAGCCTGTTAAGTGCCTCTCCCACAGGAGAGGTGGTATATTGTGTTCTCTTGCCAGTCTTACCCAGTGTGGGGCCTGGGCCACTTTGCAGGGGCAGATGCTGCCATGCCCTTGAGTAACACATCTGTGCTCAGGGCAGGACCCTGTTCTACTCTGAATCCATGGGGAAGAAGGTCCACAGCCCACGCTGTGGCTCTGGGAGAGCTCGGGAAGGCAAGCAGGAGTGGGGCTGGGTGATGGGCATTAGAGAAGCCAAGCAGCCCCACGGCCTGCCTCTGTAAACAGACCCTGGTGGGTCCCTTCTCGGCCCCAGGCACATCCCTGAGAAACACTGGGGACTGGTTGCAGCTCTTTCTGGGAGAGTCAGGTGGTCCACCAAGCCAGCTGCAACTTTATTTTGTCCCCTCCCTCCCTGCAGAGCAGGCTTCTGCTGGGTTGAGGCCCAGCACCTGCAGCGCCTGACCCAAGGGCCTGACCACCACCAAGGTCTCCAGCACAAAAATCAATGTAGTGGGCCAGACCACACAGGGCAGACATAATGGCTGGGGGACATAGGTGGCAGGGTGGTCCTGGGAATGTGAGTGCATAGACAGCAGCCTCCCCAGCCACTGGCAGCCCACCTCTTCCCAATCAATTGCCCCTGGCATGTCTAGAGCTCCTCATAGTCCCCGCTTCCAGGGTGGCGGCTGCCAGGGGCCCCACCCCCTAGGAAGGCTTCCAGCTCATCTGCAGCCTTCTGCTCTTTGCTCCGAGGGGGCTTCCTTTTCTTCTTCCGATCCTCCTTGCCCTCCTCCTTGTCCTTGCTCTTCTTATGTTTGCTTTTCTTTTTTGTAGCCTTTTCTTCCTCCTGAAGGTCATGAAGAGCAGAACTAGAGTCAATTTGCAACCCACAAGGCTAAATCCCACCTTCCAGGAGCCTGGATGGCTCAGGCTAGCTGGGAGGTCAGCGGTGGCAGGGGATATACCTCTTTGCTTTTCTTCTTCTTTTTCTTCTTCTCCTTAGAGGGAAGTCTGCTGTCTTTATCTGCACAAGAAAGACAGCTGAGCTCCTACCTGCTACCACTTAAAGAGTCAGGCAGAGGCACTGCTGTAGAGACCCCATTCCCAACAGGGCCTGGTTCCACAGGCAATCTTTGTATTTTTGTGCTAGTGAGTCTTGAACAAGCCTGTGAGTAATTTCTTCCCCTCCTTTCAGGGCTAAGAACCTGACAGTACAGTCCTAAGCTAAGCTGTTTGCTGGGGCTGAGATGGCTCAAGTCCCTGGGCTGCAGCTTCAGCACTTCTCCAGGCAGCCTGAGCCCGAGATTCCCAGGTATTCTCCCTTCAGTAACCTTTTATCAGGCTGCATTTTTTTTTCCCTTCCCAAAAGAGTTCTGTCCCAAAGGCTTGGGACACCTGAAAGCATGGAATGTTGGTAGGACATTTTGAGGTGAGGACCCACAGGGAACCATGGATGGAGTGACAGTCTTGAATGACTATTCTGGACCACACTTTGCCAGCTGGCATGACAGTTTCACCAATCTCATACGCCGTCTACATTCTGAACACAGGAGTACCACAGACAAGGACCTCCAGATTACAGCAGGTTCCACATAGAGGGACAACCCAGGCCCTCCTACCTTCGTCACTGCTTTCCTTGGGTCCTAGCTCCTCCAGGCCCAGCCCAAAGAGATCTGAGTCATTCTTCAGTCTGAAAGCAGGGGCTGGGAGCTTAGAGGGTGGGGGTGGCTGAGCAGGGCCCGTGTCCTCATCAGTTACATCAGAGAGGTCTTCTCTTACTGGGAACCTGCCCTGGAAAGAGAGTAGCTGATAGGCCTATTGTGCCCTGACCACTACATGGGATCTGGGAAGCAAGGTTGGCAAGTCTACTTAGGACTCCAGGGGCTGGGGTAGATGGGTGGGGTTAACCTGACCCAGATTCAGCAGGGCCTTCATGTGGACAATGGGGCCCCTCCCATGGACTTTCTCCAGCAGGCTTCAACTACACAGTAAGAAAGGACTGTGCCTCTGGGGCACTGGAGCCAGGAACAGTCTCCTGCCTCTCCTCAGACCCTGCTTTGGGAAACAGACCTTCTTGACTGTCCTCTATCTCTGGAAGAATGAAGCCTTAGCTGCCTAGCCAGCAGCCTGTCCTTACCACTCTCTTCTGTGTGTCCGACTCATCACTTTCAAAGTCAGGGTCATCCATGACGAAGGACAACATCTGGGCAGCAATGGGCCCCTCAGGATCACTCTCTGATGACACCTGTTTGTCCTTCCCTTCCTGGGATCTTTGAGAGCCATCAGTGGGTGGCTTGGTACTGCTGAGCTCAGGTCCCAAGCCCGTGGTGAGACCATCTGACCACAGTGGCACGCCTCGCATGGGAGCTCCCTTCTTTTGTGGATGTGAGGCCTTGGTGGAGGACCTTCACATAAGAAGAAATGTCAGGAGCTCCGAGGCCACTCTGGGTTGCCACCTCAGCTGGCCATACTCTGGGAATCCCAGCCCATACCATTTAGTCTCAGGCTCTGAGCATTGCTGAGGAGCCACTTTGGGGTGGGCTGCCAGTCCTTCAGCTTCCTCCTCACTTGAGAGACTGATATTCTTACTGGGAATGGGGTCTGAGGGCAGCAGGAATTTGCCATGTGGCTGGTCTTCTATGTCCACATCATCCTGGAAACCTGCCACCATTGGGTTTCCTCCTAGGGCCTCCCCATCGTCGCTGCAAAGAGGGGGGGGGAGGCAGTCAGAAGTACTGAGGGGAGCTGTGTGTTACTGATTACCCATGCCACTACCTGTAGAGCTGTCCTGTCTGTAGTACCATACTCAAGTGGCAAGATGTAATGGGCTGTTATAGGGTATTCTGCTGGGAAGAGGTGGACTAAAGAGTGAGAGAAGCACTGCCTAGATGCTGGCCAATGAGAGAACCAGTGGGAGGAGTCCAGAGAGAAGCCTCTAATTTATTTGTTTCTGGAAGCCCTTGGTCCCATACAACATGGTGATGCCAGAGATGCTAACAGTCACTCAGTATTTGATCTGTTAGAGGGAGTAACCTCAGGTTAACTGTAGTTAGATGTCCAAGTGTTGTTAGAAGACAGAGAGGGGGTTGTGAGAAGGGCTAGCTTCAGAAGTCAGATCTGGCCAAAGCCTGCTTCTCTGGGTTTATGTGGAGCCCCAGGTGGCCTTCACTATACCGTACACATAGATTGGGCCCTCAAGAGTGCCCATGTCCCTGGTAAGCCATTTACCAAGGTTCTTGCTATTCTAGGAAGATTCAGCTTAATGTTCTCTAGTTTGCTGTGGCCATAAACTCTGCTCCACTCCTAGGTGAACTGTTTGTATTCCGCAGGGTGGCTGGCAGTAATCAGACTGAGTGGGCTTTGTCATAACCTAAGCCCTTCCCTCAGTTCTTCCAGTCACAGCTCAGCTTTTGTCCTCAGAGCTAACTGCCAACCTAGCAAGCACCAGAGAGGCTGTGTCCACAACCCTCAATGGTGTCTTGGAG